ACGTACGACGTACGTACGTACGTACGTACGTACGTACGTCGTTACGTTGTTAGTAGTAGTTAGTAGTTAGTAGTTACGTACTACTTCTCTCTCTCTCTCTCTCTCTCTCTCTCTCTCTCTCTCTCTCTCTCTCTCTCTCTCTCTCTGTGCTTGCTGAGTTGTGTACTATCTTGCTGTTGTGTACTATCTTTTGATCCACTTTTGTTTTTGCAACTGCAAACAACAGTTCCTCACACGCACCGCATGGTGGGTAATCCCAATCATCTGGTTGCCAGTTGTCTGTTGGTCCATCACCACATCGATTCACAGGAGACTTTCGATTCCACAAGCAGCTCTATGTGTTGGTTTTGGGATTTTTGTATGGACGTTGGTCGAGTACACCTTGCACCGCTTCCTCTTTCACATCAAGACATGTAGCTACTGGTAAGCATAATGTGTGTTTCTGATAAGCTTAATATGTGTTTCATAGAGAGAGAGAGTTCAATTTTGTCCAAATATTTTCGAAAATTCTTTTCTGAAGTTTCGGTAGGGAGGCATGGAATATTATAGTTTGCTTTTATTGCGATGCATATGAAGCAAGTTTAGGGGAGCAGGTCCTTTTCAGGTGCCCCATTACCTTTTAAGAAAACGAAACACTTTCAATGAGTCTGTTGAGGTTTCCTCCAGTGCTTAAATACACTCCAGCCATAGATGTCATCAAGGGATGGCTGGATTGTGTGTCCTTCATCTGCTCAAAGTTTTTCATAACGGTTTGATGAACTTTGAGCAGAGGAATGGTATGCCCCAGCTGTTGTTGGATTCGGACAGTGATGTTAAGGTTCTATAGGAAACATCAGTCGGCACATTGTACACAACCCCTTGAGAAAGTATTTTGGGAGCTTGGGTATTTCAATGTGATAATTGGATTTTGGTTGCTTTTTTTTGGGAGTTTGAGGGAAAATAAGGAAGGCACTTTTACAATGTATTTGCTTTGGCTTTTCCTCTCCCATTTCTCTATAAAGGGAAACTACAATCCCAAGGACTATAGAAAAACTATGAACTGTTGGGTCATCACTGTCCAAGAAATGGATGTTCCAGGAGAGTGGGATCCACCCAAACAAGTCCCGATATGGTGGGCTCTTTGTAACTTTCCATCCATTGATTGGATGGTGTTGATGCTAAACTGCAGCTTTCCTTAGTCTGTTTAGGATGTATACTTTGGAGAAGGGACTGGTTTTGTTTACATTTCTCCATCTCTCTTCTCCCTCCCTTTTGTCCTCTTACATCAGCTATTTATGTGCATCTGATTTGAGTCAGAGTTTAGTATGAGGCTATGAGTTAAGTGCCTTATGAATGTAATATGCAGGGGGAACACCATGCATTACCTTCTTCATGGTTGCCACCATAAGCACCCAATGGATGGACTGCGGCTAGTTTTCCCACCTGCAGCAGCAGCTATTTTATGTATTCCTGTATGTTTTTGCCCTTATTCTGTGACTTATATTAGATTGCACTTCTTATCTTCTTTATTATTACTTCTCTCTTCTTAATTTTCCATTTTGGCTTTGCTTGAACAGTTTTGGGGCCTTCTCAGACTTCTATCAACCCATTCGACTAGTCCAGCCTTGTTTGGAGGCGGTCTATTGGGCTATGTTATGTATGATGTTACTCACTATTACCTTCATCATGGACAGCCGTCCAAAGAAGTTGCTCGCAATCTTAAGGTACAACTGTTTCATCAAGAGTCGAGCTTCTATTCAGAGTGACTCATCTATATTACAGCGACAATACCAAAATGGCAAAATCAGTGCTCAAGATTCAATAATTTTAGGCCTGGCAACAGGCCGGTCTGTGCCTGGGCAATCCCAGACCAGGCCAAAGGGGCCATGGCCCAGGCCCCTGGCTAGGTTCGGGCCGAATAAAATTATAATTTTTTTTTGCAAAAATTACAGGAAAGTAAAGTACTTGGCAGGGCCAGGCTGGGGGGCCATGCCACCCAGTCCATTGCCAGCCTTAAATAATTTATGCTTGCATGTAGTGGAGATTCTGTATTATTTGTGTGTTTTTTCTTTTTATCTTTTTAGTTTGGGAGGGGGGGCGGGAGTTGTTAAAGTTACGGAACCACCCATCTTTCTAGCAAATTCCACCCAAGTATTTTGATTATGCCCACTGAAAACATGGGCTGAAACAATGATCTTCGTCATTTCTCTTATTATTATCCATGTCATTGGTTAGATTAGTGAAGACATAGGTGGGCCAATCTAGCCCCAAAGCTTTTAGAGATTTGATACCATGCAGGGAAGGAACATGCTTTTCAGATAATACATAGTGTGTGTGACGTGCTCCCATATTGTCCGCTTACTCCCTGAGGGGAACGACCCACTTATGATGATTCTTTCAATCAGAAAATTTGAGTTCTAGTTTAGCATCACCAGATGAGAATTTTGAGAAAAAGAGAAAAAAGAAGTTTTTGTGCTCACTTAAATTTGACAAACCAAAAACTGGGCGGTCTCTGCTCAGGTATTAGAACTTTAGTTTTTCAAGCGCATGTATGAGTTGTAATTCAAGGGCACGTGAGTTGTGTATGGAATTTTCTCTCTTTGAGGGTGGTGGCTAGGTTGAGGTTGCATCATCAAAAAATTCGGGTGTAGCTATTCCGAGATTGGTTTCGTTAGGGAATGATTTTAAGTTCATACTCCCTCGGGGCCATAGAACTTTTGGCTAATCTATATTTGGTTTTTTTGGTTTTCTTCAGAGGTATCACTTGAACCATCACTTCAGAGTTCAGACCAAAGGTTTTGGGATCACATCCTCTCTATGGGACAGGGTATTTGCTACATTACCTCCATCAAAGATCACGGACAAGAGATGATTAGTGGTTTTAGTATTATCTTTGTTTTGAGGTCATCGGTTGGGTGTATTGGCTTGATGAGTTGCTGGGGATGGTTTCATTGTGAATGAATTGCATGTTAGTGTTTGGGTGGATTTGGTGGCCAGTCCACCGGCCTCAATTTTTGTATTTATTTATTGTGATACATCAATGCATTGGTTTTTTTGCCCTATTGAGAATGCTATTGAATTTTGGGTGCCTGTTGTTTGCCATTAAAACCAAGCACGATATTTGGCATTAGTTTTCAAAAAATATATTTATATGGCAGTTTGGGCTGATTTGCTTTGTTTCCTGCGGTATAAATTCTCAATGCAGATCGATCCAAAAAAAAGAAAGAAGGGAGCATGTATTATCTTTTGAGCCCGCTTGTTGTCCCTCTCTCTCTCTTATACATGCACGTGCATACAGGCAGGTATTATCCCTTTTGCCACGAAAGATACACCATGGAAATGGGGAGGGATTTCATGAAACCATTACATTGCAGTATGACAGAAACTGATCGTTAAAAAACAGAGTCGGGCATTTGTTTGACTTGATATTCTACACATTTCTAGCCAATAAACAACTTCATTAAATAAAATTTTGAAAATAAGCAACTAAAAGTGTGTATCTATAGGAAAAAGTTACCAAAATGTAGCACCTGTAATAAATAATAATATAGGTAGGATTTTAGCTGTTGGATCTTAATCAGATGGTTGTCACTTTGAATTTTAATATTTTTTATACAAACCAGATCGAGATGAACTTTTGAGAGTGTACTAAAAAAAATGGGGTGCACAAGAAAGTTACAAAACAAAAATATTTTTTAAATTTGAAATGCCCCTAAAAAATGATGGGAGTGATTAGGAAATTTTAAGTTTTTTTTTTTATATTTCAATTGGTGCACAATAGTGTTAAGTTTATACATCTAAAATTTCATCTCAATGTGATTTTAAAAAAAAAGATTAAAATTTAAATAGAGTAATGATCCTATGAGACCCTCCCACACCCATGTGTGTAGGACTTCAAAGGATCATCATTAAATTTGGTACATATCGTTAGAAAAGCTATTGGGTGTAAGCTTTTGATTTTTTTAGAGATCTGTGCCAAATTTAATGGTGATTTTTAGGGTCTTACACACATGGGTGTGAGAGGGTCTAATATAATCATTACTCAGTTAAATAATGACATGTATTTTCAATCATACGATATAAATCTAATGGTTGAGATAGGTGCCACCTTTTAATAGCTTTTTCCATGTATACTAGCAGCATAAAGTAAAGTGGCCCATTTATTTCATGGGATGGTTAGATATGGGCCTTGGCGGAATTGTAACCCAAATTTAGTAGATGGCCTTGTTGTCATTGGGTGAAAATATATAAAAAAGAATGATAATTGACTCTTAAAAGAGTAATCTATAAGATTTTCGCATGGAATACAATCAATAGGATTATATTTTTATCCAAAGAGATGACGGGAAAAGAGGAATAGGAAGGAAAGAATATGAGGTCTATGCAATCCTAGATGAGATATCAGTGGACCAACACAGGTAGGGTGAATGCATAATGTATGATTTGCATATTCTTGTGGTCATGCACTTATTCTAAAAAAGGTGCTAATAGGTCTTCAATCATTAGAAGTTTTGGGATCGGCTACATGAATTTTGTTTCGTCATTTCATTGTCATCAAAAAAAAAAAAAGAAGCAAAAAACAGAAGGAAAGAAAATTGTTTGTTAAAAACAATCTCTAGTCGAGGTCCTTCTATCTTTCCTCACCGTGAAAAGGTCCCATAGGATCATGGCATTCCTCACTCCTGATGGCAGGTCGTCCATGATTTTACCTATCATCACCTCTCTCTCAGTGCCTTCCATTGAATTTTTACCCATCAACTGTTTAGTTTGAATATGATGTCCATCATCCCTAGCGCCATCTTTGCTTCGTAGGAAGTCTGTCTCCGGGAGGATGATTTCCCCTGCTCCACCTCTTTCCCATGTTTTTACATGGGAAAGTGGCTGTATGAAAGTGCCCAAGAATCTGCTACACAAAATAGTGGCTTTTCAAACAAAGCGCTTAGGAGCGGGGTATGGAGCTGATTTCCCCATAAACCAAACATACCCTAGAGGATAACAAGGCTGGGTTTGCCCATGTGCATTGCTGACAACAAGAGGGTTCATCTCCAACTGAACATCTGCTTATTTGCACCTTGTTCAGCAACGGACAATGCAAGACCTGGTTAAGGTTGCAAATACTGGTCAGCTTGGACATGCATGAGAACTTCAAATATGTTAACTTTGGGAATGATACATCCTCGCCCAATACCTCCTCTTTTTTTACCTGCAACTCCATGGCTTCACATGACCCAACTTATATTACTTCCAAACTGTTGAACAATTGGGCCATGCCTTTGTTGAAGACCACTCTCAATCTTGGGCATACCTCTATGATTATTGTCTTAAGGTTAACCAAATACCCACGAGACGGAGGAGGCCCGGCGCATATCCTTTCAAACTTTAAGCCTTGCAAGGCGTTCTCGCCGGTCTCTTCACCAATTAACACCCTCTCCAAATCCCAACAATCCACTATATGTAGACCTCTTGAGATACAAGTGGGCACACATGTTAGACCATTGCAATCGTTGAAACTTACATCTCGTAGGTCTTGGGATTCATCGAGGGCAATCAATGCATCATTTTTAATGGTGCATTTTCTAAAATGCTAATCCTGTATGACCCTAGCTAAGGGCTTTAACCGATCAGAAACCAGTACCCAACTGAATCAAAAATTGACAGCGGTTGAATGATTGAAGATGGTAAACTCCCTTATGTCTGGTTTCCCCTCCCATTGTATATTGCAACCATCTGACAGGCAACTCCATGTTGCGCAAACTACAAAATTCCCATGATGGAATACTCATTCCTGTTGTGTAGGATTGATCAAGGTAGCTTAACATAATTAGATTCCCCAACCACTTTGGCATACCCTTTATATGATCACAATGTGATACGTCTAAAAGTTGGAGTTGTGGGAGCTCTCTGATAGAATCTGGTATATACAGTAGTCGCCGACATTGTCTTAATCGGAGCACACAGAGATTAACTAGATGTATCAAAGAATATGGGAGGGAGGAAATATTCGTATGACTAAGATTGAGTACGCTAAGGCCACTTACGCTTTCCAAGAAGTTCACTTGTGGGATAAGCCCAAACAACCAATTTCGTTGGAGTAGCAATGTGACAAGACGTGGGTAGTCCTCTGACAATTTAGGGAGAGTGTAGAAGAAATTTTTACCAGTGAAATCCTCTCTACATCATACCATTTTGTAGCCTTTGGTGCCTCTTTTAGTTCAGCAGAGGCCCGCACCAAGAACTTAGGACCATGCCCTAACTCAGGAGAAGTGATCCGCAATGCCATCTCATGCAACACATCATGCATCTTCACTGTGTTTGCTTTTTCTCCACTCTCCAACATGCACACATTTTTAAGATCTCCAAGCAAAGCAGCAACTATCACAGGTGGCTTTGAAACTACCCAGTTTATCTAGGAATCCTTCTCATATGCAATAATCTACTATGTTGGATTTGCTTATTGAATGGTCCTCAGGGTACAAAGCACAATAGAGGAAGGAAGATTTGAGGACATCATCCAATCTATGGTAACTAAACTTCAATGGGATAAATACATCTTCAACCATACCTTGGAGACTTGCAGAAGACGTCTTCAATTCCCTTTTAGCATTTTCCCATACCTCCACCATGTGTCGGTTTGCCATTGCCTTTGCGAGGATGATGATTGCCAGGGGCAAACCATTACACTTTCTGAGAACAGTTTCAGCATGTTGTTTTATCACAGGAGAAGTGATGTGTTGACCTGCAATTTTGAGGAATAGACTCCATGCTTCCTCCCATTGCAGTGTCTTTACCTCGATTGTAGTTTCAGCCCCCATATCACTACAAACATTCCTATCTCGATTTATTACAAGAATTTTCCATGTGTCCTCATTTTTGGGTTGAGGAATTCCAACCTTTTTGAGATCCAACTTTTGCCACATATCATCCATGATTAGGAGATACTTCTTCCTCTTTGAGTGGCGAACAATTTGTCTTTTGCCTGCTCACAAATTGTGCCCTGACAAATTCAAGCCCAAGCGCTCTCCTATCTTGTTTTGTATACTGGTTAAATCTGGTTTAGCAGACATTGTGATCATCATTACGGTCTCAAAATAATGATCTGCAGTGAGAAAGTGATTAGTGACATTCTCCATTAGAGTTGTCTTCCCCGCCCTTCCCATTCCGTTTACTCCAATCACCCTATAACATTCATCATATATACAATTAAGTACCTTTTGCATGGAAATTTGAGCAGTTGGTTCGTCCTGTTGTGGTCTCTAACTCTGTAACAGGCTCTGGAGAAGGAGATTTCAATAATTTGAATTTTGGCTCAAGCCTATTGTCCACCTCCTCCTTGAGCTTCACCACCCTCTTGCAAAGCTTGTAGCGCGACCAACAATTTACACATAGACCCCCAAGACATGTCTTTCCATGTCTATACTCTTCGTCTATTTCAGTGGCTTTGTTTTCAATGTTAGCAACCGCATCAAGTGGCTATTGTGAAAGCCATAAGGAGCTTTTGAGAGAGAAGTGGAGCTACAGAGATGAATATGGAAATCAAAGCTAGCAAAGAGAAAGTTCAAAGAATAAAATCTAGAAAGAGAGAATGCTGAGGACGCTTGAGGAAAGAGGAATTCAGATGAAAAGAGGGAGGTGAAGAAGAAGAAAAAGAGAGAGAGGTAGTGTTAACTAGGTGAGGATGTAAGTTCTCCAAAAAGGTAAAAAATTTATATAACCTTGTCCAAAAGAAAAAAATAAAAAATAAAAAAATCACATAACTACCATTGTTTTACTTGTTTTTAAGGAGCATATAGGCCTTAATGGTATTTTCTTCTCTTATCTACCAAAAGTACTGTATTGTTTTCTTTTTCATTTTAATAGGTATCATTGGTTTAAATAAGGTGAAGTGTTTCATGCGTCCGAACCCTCACCTATGGCTTTGTGGGCTTCAACATCTGCATCACCCAACATAATTGCATGGAATTCTGCCTCCTAACCCATCTTGAAACCTACGATTCGCACCGTCAATTGGATTGTGCATATGTTAGGGCTTGCACAATAATATATTGGGCTCTAATGCTTAAACATAGGGTCCTTATCATTCCTTGCCAATTTGGCCACCAAGTTTTAATTAATTGGCCCAAAGCTGTTTTTCATTGTTTTGGGTGGATTTTATGGATGTAGTTTCTAAATGGCCTATGCTTTATGAAAATAAAGTAAAGCCTCACCTCAAATCCTCATTCGGAAATCACTTTGAGCGTCATAAATTTTCAAGATGGCTTTAAAATCAATTACCAATCACCGACTCTGAAATTTTAAGCTCAAAAAATGTATTGCGGATTTGTGAATAATTATTTTTAGGGTGAAATGGATGGTCCAGATAAGGTGTTATTATATACCCTATGTTTAGGGCTTGAAATCTTAAATCTTTTTTTGCATCCATAACAAGGCCAAGATGATCGATTTAAAAGTTTTTCTCGATGCAAGGAGTGCAATTATCTGTAGGTTTTGAAGTGAGACTTTGCCTATTTTGATAAGGCTCCAACTCTATCAAACCCTTTTTCTTATTTGAAACTTGAGTGGCCAAAGAAGCATGTGGTTAGTTGGAGCCCTACAGAGTTTTGTATTTGTACATAACAGATTGCAACTAGGAAAAAAGCCTGGGCTTAATTGGTTAGCGTTTGATGATTTGCAATGCTGCATCCTAAACTCATTTCCTACCAAATGTAGGGACCCTCTCCCCGCTGACTCACCCAAAAAAAAGAGCTACTCTCTTCCCACTGAATCACCCAATTAAAAGAGTGCAACTATATATTAGTTGCACTGTATAACACAAAGAAAAACTAAAAAACTAACATCTTGACCTTGATATGTATAGGTACGAAAAAAAAAAAAGATTTTAATTCTAAAAAATAGTACGTCTTGTATCGCATTATCTAGAATGTCCAATGTAAAAAATTTCATCTGTTTTTATATCCACTATGTACCATTTTTGGATATTTAAATTTCATGATCAGGGCAGAAATACATTTTTGAGATTTAGCACCAAAACTTCTCCTGTCGGTACAATTTAGTGACGCACCTTATTTTGATTTTTTATGGTTGGCGCCTTATACATGTCCTTAATAGTAACATAGCTTGGCACCTAATTTTGTATACAAATAAGATAAATTTTCAAGGGCCGTGTCTTAGTCTTGGCCTCGAACTTTCCTCCAGACGTTTCTAAAAATATTAAACAAAGGCAACAAGTTGATGAACCACACAAAGGCAAAATAAAATACTATCATCCTTTGGAGTCTACAAGATGAGGCCCCCTCATCATGTAAGCTTAGTTTATTTTACTTTTGATCTCTTAAATGAAGACCTAGGCCAATTCCTTTCTGGGCGATTTAGTTACCAATAAATAAAAATAAGGAAAAAAGAACATGGGCATTGTGAAATTGAAATCTTTTGTATTTGAAGTTTTTCCTTTATTGGCTATTGGAAAATGTCATGTGTTACTGGGCTATGTATTAGATATTATTATTATTATTATTATTGTTATTTGAATGGTTATTTTTTCTGTTCATTACATGTGAAATAGTAAAGAATGGGCTCAAGGCATAGGTGAACAGGAAGATAGGTGACACAACATGATGTTTTGAATTCCATTCATACTATGCGTAGGGGACCATCTTCCCATTGAACTACCAAAAAAAAAAGAAAAGACATGTAAAATAGCAACATTGGATTTGATTCAGCGTGTTTCAAAATGAAAATAGCTAGTGCCTGTCCACTTCTTGGTTGGTTATCTTCAGCACTTGAAAACTTAATACTTAGAAAATAGTCGTTTTTAGGCTTGTGTGCAGTGCTTAATCGGCTTTATGTTAACTTTTGAAATGCGAAAAAGTTTATATAAGGCACCAATCTTATAAGATCCACCTAAAAAATCTATTGAAGAAAATGTATTCAAAAACTGAAAAATCTTTCAACTAACTATCTTGACCTCGAGATGTATGAATATGAAAAAAAAAAAAAAAATCAATCATGTTCTAAAAATATTCATGTAACACATTTTTTAGAACATCTATTTTCAAGAGTTTAAAGTGATTACAGATGTGCTTGATGTACATTATTTTTAAAACTCTAAATTTCTTAATTAGGGCGGAAAATAGATTTTCAGACAATTGTAGGGAATTTCACACTAGAATGGCATATTTCAAAAGAATTTAATGATGTGCCTTAACTTTGATTATTTGAGGTTGATACCTTGTACCCTAGGAAGAGAGAGGCTTAGTTCACCACGTTCCCATATTTTTTGGAACCAAGGGTGAAATTAGATCCCAATACAAAATATTAACCCTTCCTAGGTACACAGGGTTTAAGGGATTTTCGGGTTCTTACCTTATGCCTAATGCAAGATCCCATGTAAAACAAATGTGAGCCACTCAAATTTTGAAGATTGGTGCGGTTAGCGTTCCTATTATGAACATATTGGTCCAATTGGTTGGAATGTTGACCGGTGCCCTAGTCGATCTAGTTTAAAGTACAAATTAAATTTGATTAAAATTGGTGAATACCAATCGATTGGATTCATTGATTTTGATCGGACCAAAAAAACAAGGTTTTGAATCCCCTTTTTTTTTTTTTTTCTGTAATTGAAGTGTTTATGTGGCCGGGCTGCATGTATGCTAGCCATAGACATTGTCCAATTTATTTGGATGGTGCAGATTGCACTATGTGTCTATTTGCAAATGCAATCTCCAGCGTCCAACCATAGTTAATATGTCGGGCAATATCAATATATCGGTTCACCATAAAATTGAAAATAAATAGTTTTTATTTTAAAAATTAGGATGAAAAAATCGGAAAAAAAATACGGATCGGCAAAAAAACTTTACGTAAAAATGTCACAAATAGAGTGAAAAATTGGAGTGAAAAATACGGATAAGTTTAAAAAAGGGGCACCATATTTTTGCTAACTATGCTAACACTATAGTCATCTATTCTAACTATGCACCATACTAACTATACACCATTACTAATTATACACCATACTAACCTTACTAACTATACACCATACTAACTATATCGATATGCACCGTACCATCCTTTTGCACTATATTTACACTTCTATTAGAGAGAGAAGACGAGAAGGGGGTGACCATTTCCTTTGACAGAGAGAGGGAGAGTGAGAGGTGGCATAGGAGAAATAAATGCAGAGGGACACAGAGAGGTGGATGCAGAGAAAGAAATAGAGAGAGAGAGCGGGGGAGTGGGGTGACCATGGATCTCTCAAAGGAACACAAAAGAGCAAACATGGTGAACTTCTTCTGAATCAGAATGTTGTTGTCTTTTTGAAGCAGATGATGAACATCTTGTGAAGAAAATCAGATGCGAGTCATGCTGTATTTTTTATTCTGATGGGTTGAATCAGGTTTAGAGAAAAGCCCTTTGTATGTTTTTCCTTAGTTTATTTTTTCTAATATGTTATTTGAGCTATGTTAATTTAGGGATTTTTGAGTTATGTTAAAATTGAGGATTTTTTATGTGATTTGGAAATTCTTTATCAGATTGTTCCTCTATAATTTCTTTGAAATGTTGTTAAATTTAGGGATATTTAAAAGCTAATGTTAAATCTATACTTCAATATACACAATGGTTCTCTTTCTCTAAAGCTTGGATTATAACCAGTGGTTATCTTTTTCCTCTCTCTCTCTCTCTCTCTATCTATCGATCTCCATACCCATCAAGCATTTGTGATGTAGTTCAATTTGGGGATTTTTGAAACTTATTTATCTATGATTTTTCCTAATTTCTTCGAGATGGTTTTCTTTCTCTCTATACCCATCGATGAGATGTTCTCTATCACATGGTTCTCTCTGTGTGTACCATGGAGGATTATTAATAGAAATATTTTTTTGAAACAACTTCTTATAAAAATTTAAAAATTGTGTTTTAAACGAGATTTTTTTAAGCTCTTTTGATATGCAGTTTAAAATGTTTTTTAAAAAGACTCCGTTTCTTTCGAAAAATCGCTTTTAAAACGCGGATTTGCTAACTATGCGACCAACTAATATGGATGGTGCAGGATGTAAGGAACCGCATGCACATAAAACCCATATCCTTTCTTGTAATATGTTTTATATTTTAAATTATTTATATATGTAATTATATATTATGAGATCATTTATCTATTGTATAAGGAGGTCACAATTACTAATAACCATATGATATGAGATTTGGTAGCATAACCATATGATGTGAGATTTGGTAGCTTAGATATATGACAAAATTTGAAAAAATTTCTTTTGAACTTTGAACTTGGTCAATAGATTAAGGATACGGTTTCTATAAGTCCATGTACAAATGAGTTACCTCTTAAAAATCTATTTTTAAGATGGATTTTAATTTTTAATGACATGTAATCTCCAATATGGAGATCATTAATATGAAAAATAAATAAATTTTAAAATTAAAAATAATAATTCTATTAAAAGAACATTTGGACCATTAGTTTCAATTGTTTTTAGATGGACTAGCTATTTGCATCCATCTTTAAAATTGATGCTTTATACTTTGGGACTGCATATTGTAGAAATGCGGTCAAGCCTACATGAAAAAGTTTTTCATAAAATAAATACAGCCTCTCAATTTCATGTCTAATAGTTAAGATTAATTGTGTTTGCATATTTTTTATGCGATCCCAAGGTATAAAACATCCCTTATAAAAATAGATGCAAATAGGTAGTCCATATAAAAACAATTAAAACCAATCAAATGTTTTCTTAATGGATGTAACCCCAATTTTGATTGGGGTATCCATATTTCACAATACAAGAAAAAAGGCATCGAAATCACTCTTTCCAATCCAAAAGTGGCAAATACAAGATACCTTTAAAAACAACAAATAAAAAGCAAATAAACGAATACATCGGACACAATAATAGCAAGTAAATAAAAAATACAAACACACATTTCCTAAAACACCACACATAAACAACCCAAGCACACTTAACTACATAAGAACCAAAGCAACATTGATCCCATCAAGAGGCACCACAATCCTGTCAATAGGAACTCACCACGTGGCATCTCAACTCAAGGCTTGGAAGGTGGTGGGGTCAGGAAAGGGATGGCCGGAATTTGGACGTTAGGAACGGAAGGAATGGATGTTGGGATTGTCGGAATTGTCGTGGGCAACGACGGGAGGGATGGCAAGGGCGGAAGGCTGGTCGGGATATTCGGAATTGTTGTGGGCAAGGAAGGGAGGGGGGGCAAAGGAGGGATGGTGGTTGGAATTTTGGGAATTATTGTGGGAATGGAAGGGATTGTTGTTGGAATTGTCGGCATCGTCGAGGGTAGAGGCGGCAATGGGGGTAAGGTTAGGGCGGGAAGGGGGGGTGTGTCTAATAGGCGGCGGGCCCCAAGGCAAGCATGGTCACTGAGCAACGATAGAACCACCAGCATTGCTAGGAGGAAGCTCTTGTTTGAACCCATGGCTAGAGAGAGGTGAGAGAAAATGTCAGAAGAGATAGAGAGTTGGATAGAAGAGAGAGAGAGAGAGAGAGAGAGATTTTTTAGAAGAAGTTATTGAAGAATGGGAGTGACATGGGGTGGTTTTATAGGAGATGGATGTTGAATTTGGACACTTTAGAGGACACAGGCGTAGTGTTGGTTATGGTAGCTGGCTTACACAAGTTCTATTCACATTTTAATTTTCTTCGAGAGATTAGTTAGCCTTCCCATCTAACAATAACTCAAATTCAAATCTTCAAACCCAACATTTGTGCCAGGTGTTTCTCTCTACTTATACAAGCAATCCAATGAAGTGCAGTACTTAGGAATTGGGCTTGGCGTCAAGCAATTAATTTAGAGGAATTAATAGTTGGAAAAGTGTTTGGGGGCCAAACAGGAGCTTTGGGGATTAATAGTTGGAAAAGTGTTTGGCGAGTTGAACGACTCACACTATTCTTGAACAGTCTCCTTAAAAGTATATCTCAAAAATGTATTTCCAATCCAAAATTTTAGATTTCAATAATCTCAACCATGAAAATGACCTAAATTTGAATTTTTTTTTAAATATAAACATTTTTTTTTTTGAATTCCTTCACCATCCATTTTAACTTTTAGTGGATGTAAGATATTTTTACGTCCATCTTATAGATGGATGTCAGATAAACAATGGACCGTACAGTAATAGGTGAGTTGGCTGACTTACCAAAACCATGTCTTTAATAAGTTTTGAGTTAATAGTATGCGGTTCTCTCTCTAAGCTTGGCCAGTAAAAATCCCTTTTTAGATCCAAGTCTCTAATGGTTGAGGATGAATTTTTTTCCTTTTATGTATTTGGTGTTGATGATTAAATCTATGAACTTTGTGGTGAAACAAATTTGCTCCAACCCTTAATTTAACCATGTTTTCTTCTCGATGAAATAGATGACATGCATTTGCGCAAGGAAAAAGTTCATAAAACGTCAATAAGTCAAGTGCACCTTGAAAATCTAGCCAAAAGAATGCTCCGAAGTTGGGAAACATACAAATTGATCATCTCTACCTCGAGATGTCTAAGATCTAAAGAGAAAGGAATTTCAAGTCTTAAAAATAAGGTAACTTGTAGCAAGTTATTTGAACAGTCTATTTTCAAGAATTTTAAGGGATTATAGATCTGTTTGATCTGCACCGTTTTTAAAAATTTAAATTCTATAATTACAGTTGAACATATATTTTCAAACCATTTTAAGGTTTTTGATACTGGAATTATATCTTCGGCAAAATTTAGATGTACGCTTTAATTAGTATAAGCCAGACACCATATACAAATCTCACCATTTATGTAAATATATCAAAAGACAAAAAAAAATTATATTTATTCACATATTCTTTTCCCTTCAGGTAGTTTTTGAGATTTTTCTCCAAGATGAACATGATTCCTTCACTAAAAGAAAAGTTTTATGTGAGTCAGCGGGTGCAAGAGCCCGCTTACTAGTGAACTTCTAAGAGGGACATCGGACCAGAATAACATATGGACGCAGCAAAAAATAAACAAAAAGCAAATTTTAAATTTTTAAATGTTTATTTTTTTTTCATATTCTTGATTATCTCGTCCTATATCATGAATCCTAATAATTTGGATAAAAGCCTCCTAGATAGTTCTTCTTTTTGAGTTTTTAGCCCTTGAGCTAATATTGTTCGCATACACAGACACGCATCTTGGAGCATAAGCTAGTTGAAAGAAGAGGAATTTTTTTTTTTTTGGTGATGAAAGTTACTAGTATTTATTTAAACAAAGGTACATCTGGAACATTTCAAGTTACAGAAACAAAGATCATCAATTTGAAAGCTACACACGACAGGATCTTCCTTAAGCATACGATCTGTTAGCCAGATGATTTGCGTCCCTATTAGTTTCTGTATATACATAAATGTAGGCAAATGTATCTATCATTTTCGGTGAACAAAGTCTCCATTTGATGAATTGTATATACAGGCCTTCGAGAACTTACACAAGTTCTTTTGGCCGCATCAAATTGAGTATCTCGACTAATCTCTCATGAGTTGTTGGAGGCCTATATATCCATCATGGAATCCAGAGATATAGCCATTACTTATAGGCAGGGTTGTTAATCGTCCCATGCTGGTCCTCGGGTCTTTAGCCAGGCCTAGTGTCAAAAAGGTTTGGAAAACATGTTAGGGCCCGCAGGTCAAGTCTGGCTTGGGCTAGCCTGGCGCGTCCTAAAAACTTTTGAATTACATGTTCTACATAGTAAAAGGAATTTCCTCATATTTTTATAAGGACCAACCTCGGGTTTTTGGGCTTGTGGCTTGCCATCAAGATTTCGGGCTTGGCCTAGGCCACAATAGTATTTTTGGGGCTGGTATGGGAGCATAATATACATCTACGCCCTTGACCAAATGACTTATATGAGAGGATTTTTTCAATTTGAAAATTTGGGATCCATCTAAATAATACTAAATGATCATTTTCAAACTAAATATTTTGAATTTTAAGCTTTCTAATACTAAGATCTCACCATAAAAAATTGGATACTCTTTGTTCAATCTTGAGACACTATATTTTCGAGTGCATAGAGAGTGCTATTGGGAAAACTTTTTTTATCGAGATATGTCTATGAGTCCAAAATGTTACATCTCCTAAATTTGGAGTCCTACAATCTCTCCTAAATTGGGATTTACCCCGAATGAGTAAATGGGCAGTATGCTCCTACAAGAACATGAAATATTTTGGCTCGAATGTTAACAAAGGTTCCTTTCATTAAAACCAAGCACATAGTTGATTTCAATATTTCTTTTGCCTCTTGCCTTGTATAATGCATCAACAAAGTCGCCATTTTGTCGTATGCATAGGCCATCCTCTTTTTTAGTATTTAGGAAGGTTGAATGGGAATGTATATGACGGGACCATTTACTTTAGATACCACAATCATTATTGATTGTTAGATTTGAAATCCAGTGTTTGAAGATGTGTCATTGTTTAGTCACAAAGTCCAAAACAAAATTTCTCAAATGTTGTGGGACATTTTTCATTTATTAGATTTTACATCTGATGATTAAAAATGATTGTGACCTATTTGTACGAATGAAAAATTTAAATTCTATACGAAATTTTCCCAAAAATAAATGACTTCATAGTATAAATCCCAGGTTGAACCATAAGTTTGAGGCAAGTAGTGAGCCAAAAGCTCCCCAATCAAAGTCAACTTATTTATAAACTAGGAGTGTAACCTCTTGAACTTAATAACCAACTTCAAAGAGAAACAATTTTTAATGGCACTCTTTATGTGCCTCAAAAAAATGATGTCCCAAGATTGAACAACCATCGTCTAAATTTTGGAAGTCAAGATCTACCTGTTCCTGAACTTCAAATCCCTTTTTTTAAAAAAATAATCATCTGATATCATCAGATGGACCCCAAAATTTTGCGTAAAAAAATATCCTCTCGAGTAGCATTTGTGCCCAACAGAGTTGTTGCACAATATATTCATGCAGGAACATGTTACTCCCTTTGTTGTTGTTGCTGGTGTTCCTCCACCCAAAATTTCTGATAGTAGTGAAGGGTAAGATTCAGCTCTTAAGGATCAGTATTGCCAATATATGTTTTCAGTTGCACAATAAAAGGCATTAAGTTTAACACTTACAATTTGGGTGTCCAAATTAGCACAAAAAGGAACACAAGCAACCACACGTACTTATGTAAAGCAATTTTCTTTAGAATGTGAAATAGTAAAGAATGGGCTCTAAGGCGTAGGTGGGCAGGAAGGTGGGTATCAAAACATGATGTTTTGAGTTTCATTCATACTATACGTAAAGAACCCTCTTTCCATTGAATTACCAAAAAAAAGAAAAAAAAAAAAGTGAAATAGCATCATTGGATTCAATTTGGCGTGTTTCAAAAATGAAAATAGCTAGTGCTTGTCCACTTCTTAGTTGTTTATCTTCAGCACATGAAAACTTAATACTTAGAAAATAGTCGTTTTTAGGCTTGTGGACGGTGCTTAATCGTTAACTTTTTCAAATGCGGAAAAGTTTATATGAGGCACCGATCTTAAAAGATCCACCTAAAAAAGCTATTGAAAAAAGTTATTCAAAAACCGGAAAATCTTTCAACTAATTATCTTGACCTCGAGATATATATATATATATATATATATATATATATATAAAATTCACGTTCTAAAATAGTACATATGACATTTTTTTGAACGTCTATTTTCAAGAGTTTAAAGTGATTATAGATTTGCTTGATATACATTATTTTCAAAACTCTAAATTTCATAATTAAAGGTGAAAATAGATTTTGAGACAACTGTAGGGATTTTCACACTGCATATTTCGGAAGAATTTAATGATGTGCCTTAACTTTGATTATTTGAGGTTGACATCTTGTACCCTAGGAAGAGAGAGGCTAAGTTCACCATGTTCCCATCTTTTTTGGAACCAAGGGTGATATTATATCCCAATACAAAATATTAACCCTTCCTAGGTGCACAGGGTTTAAGGGATTTTCGGGTACTTACCTTATGCCTAATACAAGGTCCCATGTAAAACAAATGTGAGCCGCTCAAATTTTGCATTTTGATATTTCTTGAGTAAATATAATTGTATTTGAAGATTGGTTCGGTTAGCGATCTTATACTAAACAGATAGGTCCAACTAGTTGGACGGTTCATTGGTAACCTACTCGATCTAGTCTAAACTACTAACTAAATTTGGTTAAAATTGTTCAATACCAACCGATTGGATTCATTGATTTTGATCGAACCAAGAAAACAAGGGTTTGAATCCCTTTTTTTTTTATTCTTTGTAGGTGAATTTTTTTATGTGGTCGGGCTGCATGCATGCCAGCCATAGATATTGTCCAATTTAGTTGGATGGTGCATATTGCATTCTATCTCTATTTGAAGATGCAATCTTCAGCGTCCAACTAACATGGATAGCACAAGATGTAAGGAACTACATGCAAGCCCACTTGCATAAAACCCACATCTTTCTTGT